TGACCACAAGAACCTAGAGTATTGGAGGACGGCACGAGTGCTCAACCAACGGCAAGTGAGGTGGGCCCAGGAATTCTCCAAATTTAACTTTGAGATTTGTTACGTGCCAGGCCCAGAGAACATTAGGGCGGACGCTCTCTCACGCAAACCTGAATATTTGGAGGGGGAGGAGCACCGAAGAGAGACATGTCATTCCAGAGGACCGCTGGGTGTGTGGGGCGGCATTGGTGGGACAAAGAGAACTGGTAGAAGAAACAGAGAATGATGAATACGCCCAGAATAAGCTCAGAGGTCTTAGGGATGAGGGAGAGGAATCAAGGGGTTTCGAGGAAAGAAATGGAGCTTTGTATTACAAAGGGGCACTGTATATCCCTGAAGGAGACTTAAGGGGAGGGTACTCAAGCAGTTGCATGACAGCCCCACGGCGGGCATTTTGGGCAACACAAAACCATGTGGTTGGTCACCAGGGAATTTTGGTGGCCTAAGGTGAGGGAGGATGTACGTGAGTATGTAAGAGGGTGCGAGCAGTGCCAGCGAGCCAAAGGGGAAAGGCGGGCGCCGGCGGGGCTATTAGAACCCTTACCAACACCAGAACGACCTTGGGAGGCAGTGTCGATAGATTTTATGACTGATCTGCCGAAGTCCAAAGGGAAAACAGCCATCATGGTGGTGGTAGACCTACTAACAAAGATGTGCCACTTTGTAGCTTGCTCGCATGCAGTCACGGCGGAAGAGACAGCGAAGTTATTTGTAGAACACATTTTTAGGTTGCACGGGTGCCATTGAGGGTGGTCTCAGACCGAGGAAAACAATTTACTTCCAGGTTCTGGAGGAAGCTCATGAGCTTACTGCAGGTGGAGGTCAACTCTTCGACTGCCCGGCACCCTGAAACCAACGGGCAGGCGGAAAGAGCAAACGGTGTCCTCCAGCAATACCTGAGGTGTTATGTCAATGACAGAGAGAATGACTGGGTAGAAAAGTTGGCGCTGGCGGAATTTGCCTACAACAATGCCGAGAATGTGTCCACAGGGATGAGCCCTTCTTGGCTAATTATGGGTGTCATCCCAGGGCTTTCCCAGGGGAGAAGGGAGAGATGGAGCGTACCGGCAGCCGAGCATTTTGTAGAAGAAATGGAAGCAATCCACCGTCAGCTCCAACTCAACTTAGAAAGGGCGAAGGAAGAATACAAGAGGCAGGCAGACAAGAACCGAAGGGAAGGTGAAACCATAAGGGTTGGAGATAGGGTGTGGCTGTCAACCCGAGGGTTGCCGTTCAAAGGAGGTTGTAAGAAATTAAGACCCAGGAGGTTGGGTCCCTTTGAGGTCATTCAACAGGTCAACCCAGTGGCTTTCAGGCTCCGGTTACCCAACCACATGAAACTGCACCCAGTATTTCACAGGTCGTTACTGTCACCGTACGAGGGGACGAGAAGGGATGGCCACTCGGGGACCGGTCATAGAAGAAAGAGAATGCAGCAGTCATGTGGCAGAAATCCTTGATGCCAGGTGGAAGGGGAATCAGGTGGAGTATTTGGTAGCGTGGGAAGGAGAACCGAGTCAGAAAACACGTGGGTAATGGCCGAAGATATCAATGACGAGGTATTGATAGAAACGTTCCATCAAAGGTTCCCGAGGAAACCTCAGCCTGTGGAGAGGTTCCGGAGGGAATACTTTGGGACCACTGAGGAGGAGGAGGAGTTGGAAGGATTCCCAGAATCGGAAGGGGAAGGGGAGATGGACTCGGAGGAGGAGGAGTGCTTCGAGACCAGGAACCGCAACAGGTGGAGAGAAGTGTTCGAGACATCGGAAGATGAAGGAAGTTCATTACTGGGTTTTGCCTCCTCACCGCCCGTAGAGGAGGGGGCGAGAGGGGGTGAAGGGGGCCCTGGAGGGGAGGTGGATGTCAGGGAACTGCCATCGGAAGGAAGGGAGGTGAAAGGACTCAGACAGGTTGGAAGAGACTCAGCAGCTGAAGAGGAAACCAGCAGGGGAGAGAAGCTGAACTGAGGGAAAGGGATCTGGGTTGATGGCTCAGAGATACTTCCAGCGAAAACAGTGGTGAGGTTTCCGGACCTCCTGTTGGGACACCCACTCCTCGCCGGAAACTGTCACGCAGAGAGTCCAGAAGACGTGTTTCCGTTAAGGAGCTTTTATGTTGGAAGCGATTACGAAAGCAGCCACTGTCGGAATCTTCTAGTGACTAGAGGAGCCATGTCAGAGGGGCTCAGTCACAGACAGAGGTTTGTGGACTTGAACAAACTCTGAGGGAATACGATTTTACGCACAAGCAGCTCATCTTCCCATCACAACAAAGTTTCTAAAAACAGCTAAACAGAACAGCAGTCACTCCTTTAGAACAAAAGTCTGAGTAAATAGGTAAATCTTCATTTGGTACCAAAATGAGAAAAACGGGGGCACCTGGTGTAAGAAGCAGGCATTCCACAAACAGGGTGACACCATGGAGAAATGTGAGAGTAGATAATTTTATAATGTATAAATGTGAGAAATTATTGAGACAGGTAATTTTCTCTACAACACTTGGATTTTGTTCACACTCTGGCTCCATTTGCGTATAATGCTAAGCCAAACAGTGGCTTAGCAACTCAAATGAGCAAGCAGGCACATTCCTGGAGAGGATATCATGGCTGTATTGCTTATCCTCCAGTTTTGCTGCTGTTGCACTGCTATGAGCTAAGCCATGGTTTGACTTAATGGCTTGTCGTCCCTGGAAAAGCCACAAGCTGTAAACAAAGAACAAACCTTGGTTACAACTTGTGGTTTGTCTGAAGCGAGACAAATCACGAGCCCAGGATCAGAGCAGTTGGAGTACTGGACAAGAAGCAACGCAGTAACAATCTTGTCTCCAGAGATTCACACGCTTGCATGTCATATGTAATGGATGTCAATATTGGCCCATACACGTTTGAAGCAGAAATTAATTGGTGGGGCTCATTCTCATTCAGAGAGAAGGTGGCTGTGAAAATAAAGGTCATCACTTAATATAAGAGACCTAAAATAGATCAGCTATAAGTGCCCTTATAGAACAGTGAAGGAGCCTAACAGGGCCAGCAGTGTTGCTGACTGAAAATATTCATGGTTCAAGATTCACATGAAATTGGCAGGAAGGGTGGAATCCACACAGGGCCAGCCCAACCTAGAAGTGTTTTTAGAGCACGACAAGCCTTCCTATGAGCACACTGGCCAGCAACCACATGCAGGCTTGTTGCTTTGAATATTTTGCTTACCGGTAATTGGAGAGCTGCCAGGTTATCGAAGTGAAATGGAAGCCCTCCGAAACCCAGCTTTGTTCACAGCAGATGATGTAGGAAACTGGCATTTAGCCACCTTATTGTGAATAGTCAGTTTTGTTGGGGGGGGGTGGACAGACAGAGAGACATTGGTTTATAACTTTTTTAATTGGTGAAAAATAATCTCCATTAATAGTTATATACTATAAAGTTTATGGCCATCTAGAAAAGTGAATAGCACTTATGGAAACACCTCTAGTACCATTCCTTTGGGAATCAGGACTGTTTCTGTGGAATTCTACTGTTAAATATTGTTAATATACCATGGCTTTAATCATCTAAGCTTCGGGGGGAAGGGTCATTGCTCAATGGTGGAGCTAGGTTAGCCCCTAGCATTACCAGGTATGCCTGGAAATGTACCCCATCTGAAAGACAATATGGAGCTAAGTGGACCAATCACCTGACTCAGTATAAGGCAGCTTTTAATGCTTCTGTATTTTATTTCCTCCACCACCATCTTAATACAGAACCCATTCTCTGCTCAGGACCCTCTGCCATTTAGATTACATAGTTTGTGGCTCAGCTTTGTCCTGGCCAATGTCAAATCATTTTCAGAGTCCACAAATGAAAATTATCACTGTGGGTAGCTTTGGAGGTATGTCTCACTGAGTTCAGGTAAGTAAGCATAAGATTTCAGTCTTACTGCATTTAGGCAGCATCCACTGTGATGAAATATACGGAAGAGGAGTCTACACAATGAAAGCAATTCCCTGGTACTTTCTGCACCCTGGAAAGAAGCAAGAAAAGAAGGCTAGTTGCAAAACCAGTGTGATGGGAGCAGAGGAGATGGAGCCGCGCCCCAGAAAGTGTGGCTGCTCCTCTGATGTGTCTCCTTTTGCCCTCCTAACTTGCAACAGAAAAGGAGACAGGTGAGGTAAACATGCCTTAGGGGTGAGGAGGTTTTCATCCTTTCTTTGATATCAGGCTAAGATTCCCTTGTGGATGGATATGGTTTGGTCAGACTATTTTTCAACATTGAGTCTATTGGGACAGCATGGAGTAAATAATCAAAATGCCACGGCTTGTTTTAGAAAAGGTATATCGGCATATTATTTAGATTTAAACTAAAGACACCTAGGTTTGGGGGACATTAAAATTGTCCAAGGATTATAGAATCAAAGAATCATAGAACTGTAGAGTTAGAAGGGACCATGGGGGGGGGGGTCAACTAGTCCCTGCAATACAGAATCTTTTGCCCAACAATGGGCTTCAACCCATAACCCTGAGACTTAAGAGTGGAGCTTGTTGTTGTTGGTAATGTTTTTATATTTTAGAGATATACAGTGGTACCTCGGGTTACATACGCTTCAGGTTACAGACTCCGCTAACCCAGATATAGTACCTCGGGTTAAGAAGCTTGCTTCAGGATGAGAACAGAAATCGTGCTCCGGCCAGTGGTACCTTGGATTAAGTAATTAATTCGTTCCGGAGGTCCATTCTTAACCTGAAGCACCACTTTAGCTAATGGGGCCTCCTGCTGCTGCTGTGCCGCCGGAGCACGATTTCTGTTCTCATCCTGAAGCAAAGTTCTTAACCTGAAGCACTATTTCTGGGTTAGCGGAGTCTGTAACCTGAAGCGTATGTAACCTGAAGCGTATGTAACCCGAGGTACCACTGTAATATAATCATAAATATATGGAGTTAGAAGGTACCCCAGGGGCCATCTAGTCCAACCCCCTGTAATGCAGGGATATGCAGCTATCCCATGTGGGGATCAAACCTGCAACAACCTTGGAGTTATCAGCACCACGATCTAACCAACTGAGCTGGTGTTGCATAACTCCTCTGGGCTCCTATGGGGAAGAAGGGTAGGAGACAAATGCAAATTATTATTATTCATAATAAAATAACCCAAGAGTCAGCCAGTTTGGAACTCTGAACATTCTGAATGCACTTTGAGCTGTATGTGACTAGGCTGCACTTCCCCCCATGGGGCAGGTGAGCTCCCCTTCCACACCTTGGTTATGCAGGTGGAGGGAAACATTGTGAACATCTCTTATGCGTTAGTTGAGCTCTGTGTGAATACTCTGTGGTGCCAGTGTGGTGTAGTGGTTAAGAGCGGTGGACTCGTAATCTGGGAAACCGGGTTCGCGTCTCTCCGCTCCTCCACATGCAGCTGCTGGGTGACCTTGGGCTAGTCACACTTCTCTGAAGTCTCTCAGCCCCACTCACCTCACAGAGTGTTTGTTGTGGGGGAGGAAGGGAAAGGAGAATGTTAGCCGCTTTGAGACTCCTTCAGGTAGTGATAAGGCGGGATATCAAATCCAAACTCCTCTTCTTCTTCAGGCGTTCTGTGCCTGCCTTTACACTGGATTAGGTCCTATACTTGTAGACAATTTATCTCACTTTTGACTTTCAGGTGTCTTTTGAGCACTTTTTATGCTGACAACCCTATGCAGTTGTTTAAAATTTTCATGAGTAGTCATTTTAATGATTGTTCTGTACTGCTTTTAAAGTCCCCCCCCCCGCCATGTTGCTGTACACTGCCCTGATGTTTTATAAGAGGCAGGTACACCAATACTGTTATAAATAAATGAATAAATATTGTGTAAACCAAACTTTCTTGGAAAAGGCCGCTTGCTGATGGCACAGCTAATATAGGATGACAAATTTGCTGCAGTGGCAGATGAATTATCAGGCACTATTAAAGAAAGGGCTGCTTGTTTGCAGATGCTTCTTTCCCATTCATGGAGGGGGAAAAAACTTTGGTGTATTACAGGGTTAGTCCATGGGAAAGCAACTGAAACTGTGCATTGAGAATGGCAGCTGAGTGTCTCATGCAAAAATGTAAAAGGCCTTTCAAATAAACAAACAGAAAGGAAACCAAAATACACAGATGCTATTTTAACAGATGCTAGTAAAGCATGACTTTTTGTTTCATTTCCAAGATCTCCGTTTGTGTCCTGTTCTCTGCCAGGACTTTCAATTGATCATTTCCTTACACAAATAGAATGGGTATATGAAATATTCCAGCTGGTTTAGCCAGGCGGTCTTAAAAAACTGTGTGAAAATACACAGAATTCTGTAAGCAGCAAACCCACCATTTGCAAGCTGGATCAAGGAACTCACACAGCTGCCCTGAACTAGCATTTGCTAAAGCGTTCAGGACCTCAAATATTTGTTTGTTTGTAGCATTTTTACTCTGTTCTTCAGTCAGAATGGCTTACAGATTAATAAGAATAAAACAATCCAAAATACATGACACAAAAGGAAATGAGAATGCGGAGGGAAGAGGAAAACAAGCAAATGCAGGTACCAGTTACTAAAGTTACAAGATCCTCAGAGTAACTATGATGGAAATTGTCCATGGAGAAGAAGAGCCAAAAGACACTGGTTTCTCAGCAGAATTCATCTCCAAGCAGCCTTCAGGACCCTCTATACCTACCCACCCAAATCACATAAAAAATCAATAACTCCTTGTTTCACACACTTGCTTTTCTACTCACAGCTGGGTTGTTTATGCTGTCAGTGAGGTGACACATTGAGAGCCAGCATGGTGTAATGGTTAGTGTTGGATTCAAATCTCTGTTCAGCCATGAAACTCAGTGGATAACCCTGGGCCAATCACAGTCTCCCAGCCTAACCTACTTGACAGGGTTGTAATGAGGATAAAATGGGGAGAAAAAGAACCATGTACTTGAGCTCCCTGCTATAAGTGCAGTGAACAAGCAAACAAATTATCTCTGGCATTGCTATTTGCCAATATTCCATACGACAATCAGATAAGCTGTTCTCAGAGAGACGTCCACTAAATAAGCTAAGCAGAAGAAGAGTTTTGGCTGCATGTCTATGGGTTAAAATATCATTTTTCTTTTAGGGGTAACCCCCCCCCCCAATTCCTTTAACATGACCAACCAAAAGAGCAAGCAAGATTTCGAGCCCAACTGAACTTTTCATTTAGTTAGATACTAGGCAAAGCTGTCTTGGTAAACAAGCTGTAATGTCTGCCCTGGTCAAAAGTTCATTTTTGTTGTATTACCTTAGAAACGATGTAGCCGTAGCAGCATGGCTATGGAGGTTGTAATGAAGACTGGCTGCACTTCAGAATTTACTGATCTGCCACTGCCCCAAACCCTGAGTCCTTTTTGTCAGTTTCTCAGAACTATACTGATAGGTAGGTTTTTCAAAGAGAACACATGTTGCAGCATTGAAAATATCAGTCACTGTGCCAAAGGAGCTGGCAGCTCCCACATCATCACCATGTAAAAATGGTTCTTCTTTCATGCAAAATTATTCTTTATTCATTTCCTTTAGGTATCATGTGGTGCCTTGGGCTTGTATTGAAGATAGCACTTGTATTTTAGTACAGATATGTATGCAAAAGGAATTTGAAATTATCCTATGTCTGTTTAGCATCTATATACAGTGTCTCTCTGTGATAACTTATTGGCTTGCACAGAGATCTGAATAATACCAAAGGCAGATAAGTGTAGAAGAAAACTCTATTCTACACTGAACATTCTTGTATAAAATACTATAATGAAATTTAAGATCCCACTTATGTTTCTGTATACATTTTTATAGATATTAGCTCTAAAGAACCATGTATTTAGGTCTGTGTGTTTTTAAAAGTCTGAAATCTGATTTATCTATGAGACACACTTCACAACACAAACCAATTTTGCTGTGGTAATACCATGTCAATATTTTTTGACAGAAGACAAATGTTGTTATTATTTTGCCATTTCTTACCTTTGTAAAAGTTTAGAATTTTACAAAATGACTCTTCTTTACATGTCAAAATGGTAAGTTGGTGGGGAGGGGAAAAAACTAAGACCGTTTTTTATATCTAGGGACAGTGATGGATTCTGCAGTGAGGTTAAAAATGATTTGGCACGTTATTGGCATTTTTAAAAAAGTGGAAAGTAAACAACATTTTCAATGGATAAATGCATTTTTCATATATAAAAATAGAGATGGGTGAAATACAGATGAGTTTTAATGGAATTATTATTTTTACTGGTTTTGATGTGTGATATTAAAGGGAGGGTTATTGATATCCTGCCATTAGACTTTGTATATATATTGCATAGTGTAAAACTGAATACTGTGATATTCCACCTATTTGAATAATAGTCTATCTAAAATATTTTTTTCATGCTGCTATAATAGATAAACTTAGATAGATTACTACATTAGATCAAGAATAGACAATGCAGTACCCTCCAGTTTTTGAAGTCCAACAACATATGGAAAGCACAACGATGGCAATCCTTGCTTTAGATTACTAGGCAGAATTGACAACAGCACATCAACAGTTGATTTAGTACGGGAAGGACTGTTTTAAATTTCCAGATTAATTATGTATTTTGAAATCCTGTTCTTTTCCAACATATTGTAGATAATTGCCTTTGGCCCACCTGAAATACACCCATTTAGCTGTAGCCACTAGTAAGAACAGGGTTGTATAGGTACAATGTTCTTATATAAGTGGCTCCAGAGTGTTTCGACCAAACTGCATTTGGTGAATACATATTGGGTCCTCCCATGGCCTGATTCCGTGCGGATCTCCCAGCCCGTTGAAAGAAAAATTTTACTTTGCAGGCAGAGGAAACAAGAATGTATCAGCTCCAAAAATACTTCAGTGACTGTATATGGCAGATTATTTTTTAAATGCAGTCTACTGAACACAAAGGGCCTCATTGACTTTCTGTTGTGACGGGTCTTGCATTTTATAATTCCACACTGAATAATTCATTTAGGAATGTCACACTCCTTTTCCTCTTTTTTGAATGATATGATTGCAATTACCATTTTCCTAAAAACATGTTTTGTTGTAAGAGTGTCTTTAAAAATAAACAAAATGCAGCAACCATCAGAAAGCTTCGTAATTTAAGAGGTGACGTGTGGAAACATCTCCCCCTTCTATGCCATCCCAGTCTAAGGATGTGGCTCTCCCATCACCAGACTCTGGGGTGACTGCCCTATAGCTTCTCCTCCTCAATAGCCCCACAGGAGATTGTGATTGCAGAATCGGCTACAAGCCCTTTCAGGAATGTGGACACCTTACATGGGGAGCAAACTCCCTGGGAAGGCACAGTCAGTCTTAAACCTTCAGGTGACACTAGTTCTTTGCTGGGACAACATCTTTAATAGCTCAGCCAGCAGGGACCACTGGGAGCTGTCCAAGGTCCTGCCTGAGGATGTTCTGGTAACTGCTACTACTTCCCCAGTGATCACCATGCATTACATCTGAGGAAGAGGTCAGTGTTCACCTGCACACCGTGAAGATAAGTGCAAGTGTGTGAGAAAGACTCTCCTCCTGCAAAAGAGGGGAGTGGTTGTGGGCGGGAGCCGGTCTCCGCTTCAAGCAGGGGGCGTTAGCCCCCTGCCTCCCACTCACCTGGCTGGCGCCCACGCCCACTGACAGGCACCCAACCAGGTGCCTTCGAGGGGGCGTGTACGGCAGCCTAAATTGCTGCGGTGCCAGCCTCCCGGCCTCACTCTTCGTCGTCCCGTCGCGAGTCACCCACCCTCCACTCCCTTAGAGCTCAGGGTCTCAGTTTTCTTTTGGCCTTGCTATGGACCTTAGGTTGGTCACCCTGGTTGTCCGGGGGGCCTGGTAGGAATTTTTCCATTTGGCATTAGGCTTTTTGGTTTTTTCGCCTACCTCGTAGCAATCGTCACAACTTTTGTGGTATTGGTGGGTAGGTTAGGCATTGGAATAATGTGTTGTGGCGTGTGGAAGGGCTAGGTGTGGCCATCACCTACGCCTTCAATTTTGGGGTATGCCATTAAAGGAATCCGGCGGTTGTGTATTCTGTCCGATGCCTGCG